CGCGCATCAGGGGACCTGGTTTGCTGTCCGATCCATGGGCCCCGCATCTGGTGCAAAACACCTGGGACGCCCTCCTCGCGCGAGGGCGTCGCGGTGGCACACCCGACAGCGCCGTGCCCTGGGACGTGGGAGCTCTGGGGGATCTGGTCCCGTCAGGCTTCGACGATGCGAGCCTCTTCCTCCGCGACTCCCGGCGGTGATGGCTCACCGCCCACCTCCTCCACGGGCGGGGCGGTCTCTTGAGCCTCCAGGTCGGCCCCCTGCAACTCGAGGGGGTCCCGCGGCGCCAGCGGCAGCCCCCGCGGGCCCGGTCGGGGGGGACTGGTGCCAGACGTGCCGCGGCTTCTCTCTCCGCCGACCCGGCGACGAGTGAACTTCGAGACTTGCCGCCCCCTTGCAAGACTCCGCAGCGAGCGCTTTGACACCGCGATGCAGCTTCGCATGCTCGTCCGCGACTCCGTGCGACATGGCGCCAGCCTTCGCATGCGCGTCTGCGTGCTGATCAGCTTGGCGCTCCCACCGCGTCGAGCGACTTACATCCGTGTCTGTCGCCGTGGCATGAGCTAGAGTCTTGAAGGCCTGGATGTCAGAAGCCTCGAGCGCCCCTCAGAGAACGGGCCCCGCACGTTGGCCTTCGAGGACCCAGCAGAGATCCCTGACTCGGACCCTCGGAGGAGAAACATCAGCACAGGAGTCGCGAGCTCCCCGCCACCCTTCGCAGCTTGGCGAGGGCCAAAGCTGGGCGGCACTGGACCGTGCGCCGCATGGAGAACACTCGGCGGCGAGCGGGGGGGGGGGAAAGTGAGAAGGAGACGGCTTTCTCAGAAGGCTTGGAAGTCCCCCGGCCTCCTGAGAAGCTTGCTGAGCCTTCTCCGAAGACAGACAACCCTTTCTCAGAAGGCGCCGGGGCTCCTGAGAAGTCCCGCCGCCTTCTGAGGAGGCCTCCTCCTGCTCCTTTCCCCCCCGTGCCCGCCGCCGCAGCACTGCCGATCCTGGCAGCTCGCGCCAGGCACCCCCCGCAGCTCGGGGGAGCTCCTGGCAGGCCGGGCCACACGCCCGAGCCGCTGCCAAAAAGGCACGCCCGCGAGGAGGCCGCAGGCCGGCTCGTGGGCCCAACGCGCGCCGGCCTCTCTCGGGCTCTTCTCGCGGGCCGGCATGGGGTATGGCCGGCACCCTGGGTAGGGGGACCCGGTTGGTGGTAGGGCCCCGGAGCCTTCGAATTGGCCAGAGTCACTGAACCAGGTTTGCCATAGCTGGTGTTTTTTCGGGTGACGGCAGTTCCGGTCAGTGGAAATGGGGCGGGGGGGCGCCCCCGGTACAGATCTTTTAGCCAGGTTCCATTAAACCCAGTTCTACCAACGCCCGACGGAAGGGGGGTCCGCGCCACACAGTCCAACCTCTTCTGAAGTGGGAGGGCGGGTTCTGTGTCAGCAGTGCGCCCAACGCATGATGTAGCGACCGATGTTGCAACCTCCTCCGTGCCGTCTCGAGGATCCTTCGGATCGTGTTCTGCGCTCGCGCCTTTGCCGAGTCGTCGGGCCATTCTTTGCGCTCGTGCTCCTGGTGATTCTTCGGGGCAGTTTCTGGTGCGCCGTTGCTCCCGTCCCCGGCCTGTGACGGTCTTGTCGCAGGCCTAGAGGTTGACACCAACGCCAATTTCGGCGGTGTGCCTCCAACGAGGGAAGAAGATCCCGATCTCGGTGATTGTGGTAATATTCTGGCTTCCAAGGTGGCCGAAATATTACCACCAACACCGAAATCTAGGATAATCTTCCCCCTGTGGAGGCGACCCCCTGTGCTGGTGTTGGTGCCAATTTCCAGGCCTCCAATCTTGACATTCTGTCGGGCCACTCCGCGTGCGCCGACGCTCCCGTGCAGCCTGGGGCAAGCGACTCGCGCGGAGCGCGGTCGCCCCCCCCGCCTGCGCTGCTCTCGTTCCGCGGCCCTGCCCCTTCGGAGTCGGGCCAGCGCCCCCGTCTTTGACCCGGTCCCGCGGGGCGGGAACCAGCGGGGAAGGGGGGGGGGGCGCCTCTCGCGAAGCGCCTTTCCCACCTCCTTCCCCCTCCGCCCCTGGCTTGACGGGCGCGCTGGGCCAGCCGGCGCGGCGCTCCATCCCACCTCGCAGCTGGACGCGCCACGCACTCGTGCTGCCTGTCTTAGAGCGTCCCCTCGCACGCATGGTGCAGCTGGCCCAGGCGCGATCCATGCGCCCCGTGGCCGTGCGCTCTTGCCTGGGGCCAATGGGCCAAGGACCCGAGCGCTCTCGCAGGATGCTTCGACCAGTTGCGCTTGCACCCTCGAAGAAGCGGGGCAGGTCCAGGCAAAGTGCTGACGCAACGGGCCCTGGTGCTCCCAAGCGACCCGACTGCTCCTACGCCTGGCGGTCAGAGGCCCTGACGGCCCCCTCGTGCACTAGCTCCTCGAACTCAGGAGGCGCAAGCTGGCTCAGATTCCGAACGGTTCCAAGATCATCGCGAACCCTGGAGAAATTCAGCAACTTCAACCGATCTGAGGGGCCGCGAGGAACGCAGCATAAGCAGGCGACGAGGCCACCCTCCAGGGGGTGCTGCAAGTTTCCCGATCGCCGCATCCATCGTGGCCCACAGGATCAACGCACTAGGACAAATCCCCCCAAACCGCCACCGCCCGCCTCACCGAGCACGTGCCCAGTACTGCTGACTAGCGTGTCCATGAGACTGCCGAGCCTTGGAGAGTGAAGCCCGATCCCCAGGGAAGAGGCCCGAGGCAGGCGACCGATGCTGCTCGCAGCCGGCAGCCTGAGCCCATGGCGGGCCGACGGAGGCACGCCTGCAACGCTGCAACCCCACACAGCTGCTAGCTACTGCTGCCGCGCCCGTGCGCTGTACCGGGTCTACTTCTGCAGAAGGCGGGAGGGCTTCTGAGGCACCCCGCCGCCTTCCGAGAAGGCCTTCGCTCGCCTCCGAATGGCACCCGAGCTTGAATCTGAATTCTGTGAGAACGCATGCGTTGCCTTCCCTCCTCCTCTGACCGATTCCACTGCTCAGGTCGTCCACTCTCCGGGACTGGCTTTCGCGTCCCGCTTCCTCCTCTTGCCCTCCTCCTCCTCCTCCTCCTCCTCCCCCTCCTCCCCCTCCTCCTTCCTGCCCGTTTTGCGAGCTGGCCCGCCGTCCCCCCCCCTTCCTGCACATCGTCTTTCACGTCGCGCTGGTGGTCGCCATCCCCCTTCCTCGTCGGGTGCGAGGTGCACATCACGGTCGGGGGCCTTGCCTGTGGGGCGGGCCCCCGTGGCCAGGGGTCCTGGCTTGTCGGTCAGGACCCCTATCGACCCGCCGCGTGGGCGCGCGCGCGGGCGCGGGCGAGTCGGCACCGACTCGTCTGAGGCTCGCGGATCCTCCTCCTCCTCCTCCTCCTCCTCCTCCTCCAACGCCTTCAGGACGGCACAGTCGGAGCTGAGCTGGCCTCCAGCTGCGTCCGAGGCGAGCTCGCGCAGCGCGAACTCGGACAGGACGCTCCCATCGGGCTGCATGGCGGAAGTCATCGCGACGAGCTTGGCCCGCCACCTATCGAGAAAGAGTCGGCCTCTGCGGCATACAGGACCTGCTGCTGACTGCTGGCAGCGAGAGAGGACGCCCTCCGCCTGTGCTTGTTGCCCCAGGGAGTCCCCTGGAGGTGCCTTGTTCCTGCGGCGCCCCGAGGCCCTGCCCGAGCACTCTTGTCGTTTCGGCCTCCT